TGGTGTTTGTAAATAGGATATCATGTCCGCATCTTGTACAGCAATTAACCATTAGGAAGAATGTATGCAATGTGTTAATTATTGAAACTGTCCTACCGATTTGGATTGAAACTGTCTAATATCTATTTGTTTCTTAATAAAATTACGAAAAAAAGAAATAGAAGATGCAGATAAATAATTATTATCGCTGATGGCTTTCATCAAACCGAATTAGGGGCCTTCTATTCCATTTTTCTGTAGGACTTTGAACATGAATGAGTGTTGGTCTCTGTCAAAAGCCTTTTCTGCATCAATGGAGAAGATCATGTGGTTTTTAATTTTCTCTCTATTGATATAGTGTATTACAACTATAAATTTTCGAACTTTGAACTGTCCTTGCATCCCTGCTATTAATCCTACCTGGTCATGGTGCATGATCTTCTTGATGATTTGCTGTATTGTATTTACTAGGATTTTATTGAGAATTTTGGCATTTATGTTCATGAGGGTGATTGGTCTGAAGTTCTCTTTCTTAGTTGCATCTTTCCCTGGTTTTGGTATCAGTATAACACTTGACTCCAGGAATAATTTTGGGAGGATTTCTTCCTTTTCAATTGCACGGAAGAGTTTAAGGAGTATAGGGACAATATCTTCTGTAAATATCTTGTAGAATTCAGTTGTGATTCCATCCAGACTTGGTCATTTCTTTGTCGGGAGGTTTTTAATTGCATCTCTTATTTCATTGGCTGTTATTGGGCTATTGAGAGTGGTTATATCTTGTCGAATCAGTTGTGGTAATTTCTACCTTTCTGGACATCTGTCCATTTTTTTCTGTGTCTTCTATTCAGTGAGAGTAAAGATTGTCAAAGTAGCTATTGATAATCTTCTGAAGTTGCACTGGGTCTGTGGAGATTACAGCCTTTTCATTCCTTATTACTTGTATTTGAATTTTTTCTTTTCTCTTTTTGATAAGGTAGGCTAGGGGATTCTTGATTTTATTTAATCTTTCAAAGAACCAGGTTTTTGTTCCCTTAATTCTTTAATCTGTTTTCTTCATCTCAGTTGAAGTAATTTCTGCTTTATTCTTTATTATTTCTTCCTATCTTTTGGCTCTGGGTTTGGTTTTCTCTTCCTTTTCTAGTTGTTGAAGGTGCTGCATTAGGGTATTTATTTGTTCCCGTTCTGTTTTCCTAATGTGTGAGTTCACAGCTATGAATTTCCCTCTGAGAACTGCTTTCATCATATTCCTTAAATTCTGATATGTTGTGCTTGAATTTTCATTGAATTGGAGATATTGTTGAATTTATTCTTTCATTTCATCAGTGACCCACTGGTTACTGAGTAGGATGTCATTTCATTTCCATGCATTTAAGTTTTTTTCTGGCTTCTTTTGTCATTTATTACCAGTTTCATTGCACTGTTGTCAAATGATGT